GTTTTTGCATTTCACTAAGGTAACTGATGGGCAAATGAAGGCAGTAAGTCCAAGGTTACTGGAATTGGCGTAGTTGCACAAGTCATTTAGTCTGTTCCTGTTAAAAGCCAGAACAGTGCACTGTGATACGTCGGGCAGTTGAGCTGCAGGCATGTGCATTAAATATTTTCTGTAAAAGCTGAAAATGAATTTGCCGATTTTTTAACCCATTGTAATTTTAATTTTAGATGATGTATGCTTATGTAAAAGTAAGGGAATGAAAGGAAGGTGAATAAGATAAATCGGAATAAAAACCTGAGTAGGAATGTTTCGGTCCATCAAGTTGCATACATTTCTGTTCAGTGCTGCAACTGGACCTCGTCAGTGTGATGGTTGCAGCAAAAATAACATGCAAGTTGTCAACAAGAAAAAGGAAAATTTTGATAATGTAAAAAAGTTAGAGCAAGCGGTAAAAGTGTAAGTAAAAAAAATACCTCCACCATTATGGATAGTGAACCGATGTAGGACCTGTAAAGTAAAAAAAAAAAATAAAAGTGGAACCTTAAACCGGAAGTAGAGGTACGAGAATCGGACATATCTAATTAAAATTTAGGGAAAATACTACAGCATATATTAAAAAATTATAAAGGTGGTCGTCGGCCAAAAATCGGGAACCCCAGTAACCCATGTTTCCGCTGTCTAGACCTCGCGAGTTTAAAATTAGTATGTAAATCAGGTTCGCATGTTGTCAAATGTTGCCTGTGCCTGATTTAAGCGAACGGGAAGAAGGGGGCGGTGTGGAATGAAATGATTGTTAGTAGGAAGAACATACACCGACCAATATGTATGGACAGTCCTGGCGGACTGCAGTTCTTTTGCACCTGATTTTGAGGATTTTAGAATTTGAGGTTTAATGCATTACACAGAAGAGAAGCAGCAAAATTAATATAAAGAAGAATGTGTTCCTTCAGACTTTGATTCTTTAGACTTTGTTTGGTAAGCTCTGCTTGGATGACGAATTTCAGGAAACTGCTTTCGTCACAAATGCAATTACTGGAAAAGTTAGCAGTTTGTGTTCGAATGAATTGGCTTACGCTACTTGTTGGCCCGTGCGGCTGCGGCAAATCAACAACTGTCCGCAATCTAGCATCGCTGGTTGGAAAGAATCTCTGCACAATGCGTCTAACATCGGAATCGGATTCGCTCGAACTTCTCGGATCATTTGAACAGGTGCTAGCTGTTTGCTTTTCAATATTACTTTAAATTTCTTGTAAGGTGATTGTTGCGGAAAATGCTATGAATGTGGTATTTTCCCATATCTGCCTCGCTATGTTTTTTATGCCTTTTTGCATAATATGCAAAAACACATATTGTGACGACCCCGGTTTGTGTTGTTTGTGTATGTGTGTGTTTGTGTGTGTGTTTTTATGTGTGCGTCTGTCCGGGTGCGTCTAAGCCCCGCGTACGAGCGCCTCAAAGTTTTGGCGGGAAAATCGCTAACTCGAATACCAGAAAAGCTAGGAAGCTGAAATTTTGGGATTGTTTCCAGTTCAAGTAGAACTCAAAGATTTCAGATTCAGCCCCCGGGGTTCCCGCGTACGGCTCCGTGAGGGTTCCTGGCGCGAAAATTGCTAGCTCGGGAACCGTGAAAACTGGAAGGATGAAACTTTCAGGAAATGTTCCCAACTCATCCACGACTTAAATTTATCAAATTCAGCCCCCCTTTTTTGGGTGGTTGCGACGTACGGTCCCGTGAAATTTTCTGGCTGGGACTTGGGTAATCCGGGATCTGAGAAAGCTGGGAACCTGGGATTTCAAAGGAATGTTCCCTGTCCAAGTATAGCGTGGATAATTA